TTCGCTTCCATGGCCTGGCATCCGACATTCGCTCTTTGTCATCCTCCAAAATCATGCATGGTAGCGCTCCACTGAGTCTTATCTCTAGGTATCGGAAGCTTACTGCATTGAATGTGGTTTATATGCTGCCACATATATGTTCATCTAGCACAAGCAAAAAGGATTTATGTCCATGTTTTTGACAGACACGTGGCCATTTGCCGGATGATTCAATATATAGATGATAGGGTCAGTGAGTTTGTATTGTGTTCCTCTCACCAGGCTCCGATAGCTGGGCCACGTGTTGCGCACGCCAACACACCGACGTCCGCGACGTGCCTTGTTTGCGCGCCGGGGATGCGGTTGGAAGAGGAAGAGCGGAGGCTAAAAGATTATTTGGTCGAGAGGAATGAAAACCCTCACTTCGAATCTGGCGTCGGTTGGTGCATCCCGACTGCCTGGCTGGAGTTCTAAGGCCAATGAACAGGATTGATTGGACACACTTGCTGATATGGCGAAGAACTGGCCCCAATGGCGTTCGTGTTGCGAGTTTCTTTGTTCATCCACCTCCCTTTAGGTTCCTCATCTAATCCCGATTTCATGCAAAACGCAGAATATACTATTTAACATCTTATTTTTTGTGGTGGAATTTGTAGTGTAATTTTTTGGCCTCATCTTTTTGCATTGCAGCACATTAACTGAGGCGTGTTTCTCATCCTCAGTTAAGGTGTACTGATGATGATGATTATGCGCTAGTAATTGAATATGTACATTTCTTGATAAATAGGGATTCAGCCCTGTAGATGAATTTTGACCACTGAGTTCCGAGTTAAACAGTCTGATTATGGCTTTCTCATTGGATACCGAGACCTCACTCTTGTTTTAAGCACGATTTCACACCTGATTTCTCCAATCACTGATGGAAAACTTTCATGTGTATGATCTTCTAGTCTCAGGGATCCGTAACCATACAGTCTACATAGAAGGACCAATGGATTGTCAGGTGCGCGCATACACTTAAACTTAGTTTCCAGAGCAAAGGTTGCAAATTACTGTTCTTAAACACCGGTTTCGAGTTTTAAACGACCTAAGGCCAAGTAAGCGTAAACGTTTATTGTGGCTGCTGTTGTAGAGTTGTTGACGGAAGTGTAGCCAAAAAAGTAGCATCCTGGAAATCCCGTTGGACGATCCGATTCCCAGACGACGTGATGTTTTGAAAAGTTTTAGCACTAGGAGGCTCAGCCTGTCGGAACATGCTTCTTTGGTGATTAACCGGCTTCGAAGATTTAGCTAACAAAGTTCCATTGTGTGGGAAATAACCCTGAAGCTGCATCCGACTGTTAGCTTGCAAATTTAATGGCACTCACTCATATCATCTCCCTATCTGCATTATATGTGTACAGACACATTTTCGGTATCTCTGCCTTCTTCTCAGTTATGTCGAACGGAAATGAGCTTCTTTGTGTTGAATATCCAACGCAAATAATCTTTCTCTAATTTGGTTCGCAAGTTACTAAATTTGCTTGATAATACACAAGGGTTTCAACATCTACAACTTGTACGCTTATAAACACAATGTCGTGCAGATTTCGCTTCTGGTAGCAGTTCACTGTTAAACCTACATCTAGATAGTCGTTTCATTGACGCACTTGTTTGCACGTCCGTAATCTTCACAGCATTTTACTCTGCCCATCAGTTTCAATACAGTTGAAAAGAAGTCATAGTGAAGAACTATGAAAACAAGCCTTTCTATACATACACAATTCATTGGATTTTCGATGCCGCTGCATCCCAGCACTGCATTCTACGGCCAGGTTCGCTTTTGTTCGAGCTTTTCAGTCAGTGAGCGTTTGAGATGGAAATGGAATCAAAAAATAATGACTAACTGCTTACACTTTGGTTACCAGGCCATTTGACCGAACGAACCGCGCTTGGCAGAGTGGTTCAGCTTTGATTGTTAGATTTGATTGTGGAATTGGCTACTCAGCGTTCTCTTTACAAGCAGAAGGCATTTAGATCCAAAGTGTTTTACTGTACGTTTTATTTACAATTTCTCAAACATTAGCTAACAAAATGGCTGACATCTCATTCAGTCGCCAGCAATGTCCTTGTCACAACATTGAGCCACCACAATTCAAACTGCTCCCATTTCTCAACAGTGTATGACCAGTAAATGACCATTATGTCGCCATACTTTTACCAGTTGCTCTGGCCAACTGTTACCAACAACGCACGTTTACTAATGGTCCGCCTCCAGATGGTCAGGACGTTACGTCGTAGACTAACGTCACGGGCGGGTGGCACCCAATTTCCATCTGCTTCTGCTGCGGTGCCAGTAATTGCATTGACCAAGATTCACTTCAACGTGAATGGCAGTTTACATTACGATTGTTCGACGCAATTAACGCTCACAACCAGTACTCCAAAATGACCCGCTGATTAGATAATATCCGTTGGACCAAGCATTACCCGTCATGATTCAGTGAGTAGAAGGGTATAAGTACTAACTAGCACTCTAATGATCCCGGGTTTGAGGTCTGTTATATCTAACTGATGAGATCAAAGGAGGCTGAGACGCGTCTTGAACTGCCGTGTTTTCAGACAGGTAACATCCAATTTCAATTTACTTAAACTTAAATCAGTTGACTTGTTCGCTGACTCACGAGGACAATATAGAATGTACTATTTTGGTTGTGTGAGGGTGGCTGCAATCTCTTCACAAATAGTGAAATTACATTGAGCAAACAACCTAAACTAATCTGCAAATAAACTTCAAGACGTGCTCGTGGTGTTCATTACTGTGCGCACAGCTCTCCATTTACAATAACAGTGATGTGTAGATTTGAAACTAATCAATCTGGAATCTGAAGTTATTTTTGCATGCGTTGAAATACTATTTATTCTTGTGTACCAACTCATTGCAATTTTATCTGCACTTGCTAGTTTGGTATTGTTTGTTGACGCCACTACGTTGAACGCACCTGGTACATTGAGAAAAGCTGGACATGGACGACAGTCTAACTGCACTTTACAGGACAACCCCCAACAATATTATTGGCGATTCTGAAAACTGATTTCCCAATCCTCCCCCGGGAAGCCTAATCTTTGTTGATTCATTCCAGTATCTCCTCTTTCACGTTTATCGCACCTCTTTCTTGCATCCATTCGAACACTTCGTTTATCTTTTATGGTTATGAACTAAACGGGAAGCCTTAGGATGCATGGATCTGACGTAAGTACTGCTTCAGAGTCTTTTCAACCAATAACAACATAGAAGTACCATAGTAACTGATGCGAAGACTTCATACGTCATCCGAGCTTGCATGTGGGTTACGATATAACTCGGGTCGCAATGCGAAAATTCCGTCAGGTGGTCTTCCGAAACTTCACAGTCGACCCTCAGTATGATTCTGTTATATTCGCTGCTCAACTAATTGACCACATCTACCAAAGATGGGAGGAAAATGGAGAGTACCATTCTGTACTTCTTGCTTAGGTGTCGACAGATCTTTCAGTCTTAGGATTCCTTTTGGCCCTACGAAGACAGAAAAGCAAGATATAATCCGGATAGAAATTGAGGGCTACCCGCCCGAAAACACTACACTCCTACGACCCATTTCGACTCATTACATCTCATCAGATAAAGTTAGCAGGCATCGAATCCGGGACCATTGGGATGTTAGTTGTGACCGCTATCCATAAGCCACCGGGTCATGACGGGCAACGCTTGACACAACGGATAATCATTGATATTGAGGATTGTTTTGAAATGCACGTTGTGTGTATGGATTGGGACACGCAACTTCAATAATTATCCGTTGTGCCAAGCGTTGCCCGTCTTGACCGGGTGGCTAAGGGGTAACGGTCACAAATAACTTCTCAATGGTCCCGGGTTCGATGCCTACTAACTCTGATGAGATGTAATAACATCGAAACGCTTCGTAAGGGGGCAGTATTTTCGGACGGACAGCCCTCAGTTTCTATCTGCTTCAGCTACGGTCCTCGTGATCGAAAGACCAACATTCACTTAAATGGGAATCGCGGTCAACATTGTGGTTGCGTGTCGCAATCCATCCACACAACATGCATTTCAAAATGACCCTCAGTATCACAGATATGATCCTATTATAAAGTCTAAAGTATGCATGGCAACATGGGACGTATGTCGCAAGTAGCACTTCTAATAATGACATTGAACAGACAAAGACGTGTTTCTTTTGTCACCATGCTGAGCAATGGGTGCTGCAGGCAACACACATAAAATGCTTCGGGTACTGGCCGCATTTTGGTATTGCAAGCAAAAAGAGCAACTATCAGGTACTTCACGCATTTAACTACCGAAACTGCACCAGTATTACAATCCAATGCGCATTCCCAAACTAAACTATTAGTTACGAGGTTTGATAAACACAATAGAGTAGCATGGAAACAACGAAATGCTGCAAGCAAATAATCCTCAGTAATTACCATTCAGTGGACTAATTGAAATCTTTGAGCGAGTACCCTTCCTACTCGAATGCGTACAACGCTATAACTTATTTGGTGCGGGTTCTACTAACAATTTAGTACCCAAGGAATTTGCCGTTTCCGCGACCATCCTGCACTAAATGATGGCATTATCAACAATGGTAGCCGACCAGCAATAAGACATAATGCTAGCAACCAGTTTGAAGTTAAAAATGATGGCGTCACTGCTTCGGATTGAAGAAACATGGTTTCCTGTAGCATTCCTTCCTCAGTCAAAATTTCTATCTTCGCTTTCTCTTTGAGTTCTACTTGCGTTCTTATACCTTTTTTCCTATGTGTTTCGAACCCAAGATATCCTATTAACAAGTTTTCTCCTGCGATACCTGGGTTTTGTGGCGCCACCCTCCTTATACCTGATTACCAATTCATCCATGCTATTTATTCCCACGGCCATTTAAATCTGTTTAAATTTCAGTTACGCTGTCCTCTAGAGAGTAACGTCGACTGTAATAAGGTCTCTCTACCGACCGTCTTAATAATTGGTTATTTTTCCAGCTGACAGAAAATGCAGCTGGACTCAACGGCGGCTGCTTCAAATTCCAGTCAGTTACAGCCGGTTCTTGACTACGTCGGTTATAGCAGTTGGACGGAAGCGTACGACGCCGCCACAAACCATGTGCCTTCATTCAGTGTGTTCTTTCGTGAAATGTGGGTGTCACTTCTGTATGCAGGTGGTACGTGGAATTGTACTGAAAAAGGCTTCGAAGTCGTTGTGACTCCGTTAGACAATGTGTCTGGTTGGAACAACGTGCTATTTTTTTCTGCAACTTTCCTTCTCGCGGCTACCCTCACACTGATCCGCGATAACCTCTCCCCAAAAATATTGGTGAGTATTTCGCCCATTGATAAAAGCGTAAATTTCCTGTGAGACCTTGCACTTTAGATCAACCGTCATTTTCATTACCATACTGTTAGGAGTTATCTACAACTGCGCACATTCGATAGTGAGTTTTGTAGAACGCCGTCTCAGAGTGTTTTGGCTATTTGCAGTAACAGTCACAACTTAAGGGGCCACAGCTCACCAAACTGGAAACGGTATGAGGGTATGGTTGGCGGATCCCGTATCCGGATTTTCCTATCACTGTGGTCGCCAAAGGATAACCACAGGATGACTGCGCTTACACAGGGACCATGGATAGCTTGCGCTGCACCACTCACAGCTCCAACCACGCACCTCATATCCAGTGTAAACTCAAAGGAATAAGACCGGGAGGCATGTAGATGGTAGCCAGGTTACACCAACGGAGCCAGCCCATTCTCCTTCACAGGCAACCTCAAGCAAGCTGTATTTGGGGAATCAAGCGCACACAAGGCGGTGGCTGGACCGTAGTCCGCTCCACACTGAGTGCATGGAACCACTCTTCGACCCTAGCACGGCAACAAGCGAAGTGTTCCCTGTTCGCTCGAACAACGGCCAAATGTCTCCTGGAGCCAGCATGGACGAGGTAGTGGGTAATAGACAGGTAGGCACCTTGTCAACATGCACATCAAGTGCAGTCACACAAGGGATTTCAAACAGCAGCCAATCACTTGAAACGATAAGACCAATAAAATAAATCGTATAATTCATACAGATACGGTGACATAACTTCACAAAATGAGCATCTGAAATAAATTGGTTGCCAACAAATAGGAAATAAGTTGAAGACATCAGAAAATATATTTTTTAAATGCCACAAACGCGAAATTGTTATCGAAGTTAACTAAAGTAGTTTAGGGGACGTGTGCAAGTTTATAGGAGAAAGTTCAGGTAGACATTAATATGACTTAAAAACGCATTAGGACAATATATCAAACGCACCACTTGAAATAAAGAGACTCAGCATACAAGCACGCGGTTAACAAACTGAAAGCAGCGTACCTACCAACGTTGCACCGGTTGTGCCTACGTTCTCTGCAGGATCCGTTCTCGTTTCGGCGTTGGTCCCATGGCTCACTAAGCCTGCCTGACTCAAGCAGTCGCGACCGCATGTGCTACAACACCATGCGTTCGATGTCGATGGAGTACAACCCATCGGCGCCTGTCGCTACCGCACCTGCCTCTTCTACTCCCCACGCATGAAGTCTTCCAACTGCACCTCAGGAACGGCCTTCGTGACCGGATCACGCCATGCACGCCGATTAATCGCCACGGATTCCCATGACCTGTAACCTACATTAATATTCATTAGAGTATCACGGGATTAAAAGCATAACTTTACAAGACCAACAGGAGGGATGTGCAAACGGAAATAAAAATGAAAATGTTCCAACGTGGAACGGGAAGTATTAGTGGCTTAATCAATGCAGTTTATCGAACTATTGTGTAGCGTTTATCAAGAAGTTGAAATTCTAAGAGATTTTTGAATGTCTCCATGTCTAGTACGTTCACCACATATCTTGGTAATACATTCCAGTAAGAACAGCTTCTAAGTGAGTAAAAATACCTTCTACATTTCGACGGGAGTGTTTCGTCATTAATTTCAGTTGGTTGCCTCGGCTTTGTTTGTAAGGTGCTAGAGTCATCAGTGATGTACATGGATGCTCGCTTTCAGTTAGTATCCGTTATGTGAGAGTAAGATCTCCGCGAAGCCATCGGTATTCTAATGATAACACACCGAGCACACGAAGATGCAGTTCGTAACTTAGACCGGAACGTCCACGCATTGTCTTTGTGGCTCTTCATTAGGGTTGTTCCAATAGGTAAATGTTTCATTTTAACCATAGACACCAGGCCTGAATTGCATATTCAACGTGAGGACGAATATAGGAGTTAATCATCAACCGTACTAGCCGTCGCTCAAAGAAGCCGAGAGCTCGCCTCAAAAGTCTCAAGTTCAAGTTCGCCACACCTGCTGCTTTCGAACGTTGGAGCGAATCGCCAAGAACATGAGAGGCTCACTTTGATCATGTCCTGGTTACGGAACTTCGGTTTCCCTACATGCCGCTTCTCAACACTCAGCTGACCAAATAATAGCTGCTTCGGTATCCGCGTCGAATCCATACGCCACACCTGACTGAGTCACCTTACGTGTCTAAGCAAAAGTATGTAGTGCACTGCATACATTCCACTTCGACGCAACACTTCCACGTTTGGAACTCTGTCGCACCGACCAATGCACAGAATCCGTCTCAGACACTGCTTATGGAACCGTACGAAATATCACACATCCCGCTAGTACATCGTACACGTTTCGCTGCTGTATAGAAAAAAGGACAATACCATGGGTTTGTACACCATCAGCATCGTGCCAACGGTATGCTGATGATTGTTCCACACTCGGTACTCAAGCTTTCCGAATACCGCCGCTGCCTTCGAGAAGCGGATACGAAGCTCACTGTGTAGCTGCTGATCAACCGACACCACACCCCCACAGTAGCAAAAGTGGGAGGTGGTTCCCAATAGTCATCACTAATGTTGATTCACGGCACCATCGTAGATTGCACGTCCGGTGAAAGATGAAAGAGACAGACAGTTTTGCTTGTGTTGATAGTGATCCCCAATTTGGCCGCTCTCGAAACCAGAGCACTAGTCATGTGCTGCAACTCATCCGCGCTGTGTGAAAACAACGCACAGTCGTAAGCGAACAACACCCTACGGATAGTTGTCTCACAGACTATGGTTCCCGCACCGAAACGACGGATGTTCAGCAACCCATCATCAATGCAGTGTTCCACACGGACACCGAAAGCACAACTCACAACAAAAGCACAAGACATGATGGCATGAAGATAAATATTAGACAGGCCAGGAGCTAAGACACAGCCCTGCTTCACAACAGAGATAACTGCAATGACAATCGAGGTATCTCCACACAGCTGCACTCTCGCCCGCATACCACTGTGCAGACATACAAATAAACTTACAAATTTACTTGGACAACCCAACTTATGCAACACCAGTCACGGTGCTTTGCGGTTCACCGTATCAAACGCTTCGGTGAAATTAACAAAAAGCCAGCACAACGGCTGGTGTCGTCCGCTACACTTCTACCGCATCTGACGAGCCACAAGCACCATACTTATAGTGATGCGACCAGAACGGAACGCACAAGGCTCTTTCACCACGTTCGGTTCATTGACCGCGTGACGACGCGGTTGAGCAGGATTCGGGCAATCACCTTGCCCACTCAACCCAGCAAGTTGTTACCACGATAATTCGTGCAAAATTGCACTGTGCTTTGTGGCTAAGCGATGACTTGGTTGAGAGGATAGAAGGCCCTCACTTCAAAGCTGGCATCGGTTGGAGCTTCTCGGCCCCCTGGTTCTGGTCCGAAAGACCATGAACACGCTTGACTGGATACATTTGCTGATATGGCTAAGAGCCGACCTCAATGGCATTCGTGCTGTGAGTTTCTATGTCCGTCCCCATCCCACTTAGCCTCTTCCTCCAATCACAATCTCATTGCTTAGCATAATATAATTTTGCATAATAAATTTTTTTGCTGCATAGTAGCCGGCTGGCAGCTTTTCGGAACGATGTTCATCCGCTACTGGTAGCTCATCTGGCATGCATCTGTTGAGATATTTTCGTTTTTCTGTATCTGTTCTTTTGGGTATTGCGGCACAGTAGCTTAGGAGTTTTCCAACTCTAGCTAACGTGTATAATGCTGATGATGATGATACCACGTCCGGTTCCACAACCTGACAGGCGAGACGGTTGAGCAGGATTCCGGCAACCACCTTGCTTACACAACCCAGCAAGGTGATGCCAGGACAATTCGTGCAACATTGCTTGCTCCCCTTGCCCTTGAACAGTGATAGCACAAGGGCATCCTTCAGCTGAGGAGGCACCTCCTCCTCAATCCACACGCGTTGCACCAAGTGGTGCAGCATAGTCACCAAAGCAGGTCCGCCGTGTTTCAATCTTTCAGGTGGGATCCCACCAGCACCGGCACACTTGCCGTTTCGCAGCTGAGCAAGTGCTCTCTGCGTCTCATGCAGATTCGTTGTGTCGTTAAGACACGTCTTCATCTCGTGCTGTTGCAGCCCGTGCAACAGTCCAGTCGATCTCTGACCGTTCGTTCAATAGACGGTCAAAGTGATTTCGCAAGCTCTGCATTATGTCTGCAGTCTGTGTGCAGATAGCGCCTGAACTTCCAGCGATCAGCATCCTCAGCGGCTCCAACCTCAGTTCAAACACTCCTTACAACGAGTCAAATAAACCTTTGTATTGGCAGTGTTCGGCGTCGCATTCCATCGGCTTCGCCTTCTCGGTCCACGATGCGTTTGTAATGCGACGGAGCTCTCAGATCAGTCGTCATGGAATTCTGCCAAACTTTCTCTTCTCCCCCAAGTCACTTGGGTCTGCCAAGTGTGCAGTAAATGCTGTATTATTCTCAGACACTAATGCGTCAATCGTCGTATTGTTCTCATCAAACCAATCGGGCGGCTTACAGTTTGCGCGCCCGATGTCTCCTCGGCAGCAGCTGTCTCCTGATCGCTAATGTAGTGCAACAGATCGCTCACCGTGGCTATGCATTCCACATAACACAGACATGCAGACATCGCCTTCTCCAGCGCAATACGTTTTGCCACAGTACCGATGAGCGAATGTTAAATTTACGACGATTCACCGCAGGAGGGCAATGCATAGATTTACGACAATATAAGTACAGTTTGGTCCGCACCAATTTGTCGTCAGTAACACGCTCAGCTCCACGCAGTACAGGTGTCATGCGCAGTTCAGGCATGTCATTCTGACGTACGAGGACGTTGTCGAGCAGATGATAGTGACTACTCTGTGGGTGCTTCCAAGTTGTTATATCGCTCGCACTCAGTGCAAATCGAGTGTTCGTGATCTTCAGAGAGTGATTGGCACACAGTGAGAGTAGCCTGTCACCGTTC